GCCATCGTTTTTGGGAGATCGTAAATATGTTTTCGCTTTCAAAATCAAGGCTAGGTGGACCAGATCCCATCTCTATAGCACACTTTTTGAGTCCGGGCCAATATGGAAAACTGAAGGTACCACGAAGATGGCGATCCCCAGAACATACCTGTCGTTATAGTCAAGATGACCACGGCGCATACTGTCACGGTATTCTCTCAGACGTGCTTGCATTTTTTCATAGATCGCTATGCCTCCTTCGGATACGTAGCCAGAGGGCTCTGAAACACGAAAAAATGAAATATTTAGTGCTACTTGATTGCACCTTTGAGGTCATTTTTGTGTACTCAAAAGCAATGAGCACGATGTTTCGCTGTTGATGAAAGATAAACGTAGTGGTGCAAAATGGTACAGCAGTGGAGAAGAAGTTGCAATAAGCCGTCCAAAAGTCTAAGAAGTAGGAATTCGGTCTTCTCATAAAAGTGGACGAGATTACGGATATTATGGGGGACGTTTGGACGAGGGTACACCGGTAGAAGATCGTGGAAAACTTAGAGGGTGGGACCATTCGGAATGCATTAAGCTTCTGAAATGAAAACCGAATGATCTCACTTGAGGCGAGGCAGATTCTATGTAGGTTAGTAAACTCTAGGTTTAAGCTTAATTCGTTCTTTCTGGCGCATCTTTCACCACAAAAATTCAACACAGTATATTGCTACCGTTTACACTGACTGACACACTTCACTAACTAAGTAATCGAACCCATTGTTTTACTTGAAAATTAGAACCATTCATTAAGGGAGAGGAAAATCTAATTCCTTCAAAGGAGATGCAAAAGCGTATGAGCTTCTCAAAGCAAACTCGAAGCATCTTGCGCTTTTCTTGTAACTGTAACAGCTTTAGAAATTTCTCACATATGGGGTACCCTGCTAATTCAAATACTATCCGACCCGGCCTGGCCGTAGAAGTCCTACTGCCCCAGTGAGAATTGAAACAAAATCTGTCATCGACCTTCATAAAGGGTGAAAGAATAAATCGCCTTCTGCTAATCAACCCTAGTTGGAGATCCGCCACGTATTCCACCTCCATCAAATTCTAGTGAGTTTTAAAAGTGTGTATACAGGACCCGCACAATGATTTTACTGGGCTGAACCACAATGCTTTATTCTGATAGAGAGTCTTGTCAAATTGGCAGAATCTCGAGAGGGTTTGTCTAATTTAATACTATCTGAATGGCCTATCTGAATGGAATATGATCCATAAAAGAGTGAGCCCTACATTCACTCCTTCCGCCGCCGCCAATAATGTGCCACAGTATCAACGGCTCAAAATTGCTCTCACTTGCATCAACTTTTATTGCTCATCCCCATAAGCACCTGCTGTCTTTCAGGAGGGGCAAGGTGGAGGAGGGGCAAGTGGCGCCCTTCGCACGCGCACAGTCCAGGGGTCTAACCTCCAATCGCTCAGGCCAATCAAGCCTTCCATTACTCCAGGGTCGATCAGCTGGTACAAGACTTGCCTGGAAAGAGATTTCCAACTTTCAAATTGACTGGCCCCGCAAGTTATGAGGCGTACCCCAAACTTTTATCATTGACACAGAGAATGAAGGTAGGAAGCGTGGCGCAATTCAAAAAGGGATGACTAAAGACGGAAGTTCGAGGCGTCGATCTCCAAGTTTCGAGAAGTCTTGTAACCAGTGCTTCCATTTATACCCGAATTCGAAGCCTTGTAGTTTTTCGAGCGAAGAAAGTGCAGAAAAGCAGGCATACGGAAAGCGTATAGACAATTCAGATAAAAGATGACGTACTGGGTGAAAAGGAGTGGTTATGAGGGACAGACCATCTCCTGGATTAGATTTGCATCTAGGCGACAAGACGCCGTCTTCAAATTCAAGGCGCAGCACATAATAAAGCACTAAAAACGGTTTTGAAAACATCACGCTTTGCCGCGTATATCGTAATGTCGTTTAGATTCATATCGTCACCTGGGCATACAGATGAACCCGACTGTCGGTAGCGCTGTCGGATGGCGGTGCCTTTGATGTTTCGAAGCATATAAATGTGTAAGGCTACGCAAGACTCGGGTGTTTTGGCCACCACGTCCGTCATTACTCCTCTTCATACAGAGGGGGACGTTGAGACGGTGATGACAGATGTTCCCTCAATTAGTGTTCTGTAGTCCATCGCAGGAGCTGTCATGGGTTTCCACGCTAAAAGGCAAAAGTCAGGCTCAGCCCCACTAAGGAGCTCCCTCTCGTGAGTGGAGGTGCTAGGCCCCGCATCTGTAGAGGTTCCGACAACTTAGCACATCTAAACCGGTAAGGAGCTGGGCGGCAGCGTTTTGCTGCCGCTCCTGTCAAACGTACCGTCACCGAGCAAGAGCTGATTCGTGTTTTCTGGTTTTCATCGTATTTCTTAATTTTCTCTCCACTTGTGAGGCCTTCATTTTCGAGTGGGATCACCACATCGAATTGATCTTCACCCTTGCCCTTGAATATTCAGTGTGGTGAGTTGGTTTCCTTTATCGAAAAAAATGAAGGTTCAATAACCTTACGTAATACCTTTCATTGTCAAGCACGAAAGTTTTTCTAAAGGCTTTAGTTCGAGTCAAATTTTAAGAAAAAGACGGGCTTCTGATGGAATGGCAAACCATGTTTACGCATACGACCAAACGCCAGTGTTATCGTTATTTTCACTTTAGAACCTTAGAATTGTTCTGTCCCGAAGTCTCATGTCGATCTAAATGTGTATTAAAACAATGTGAGACTTCAAAATTTATTGCAAAAGACTCAAAACTTTCTACAAAAGAAATTGCAAAAATGTGTGTTTGCAAAAGTTTTGCAAAAGTTTAGGCCTTTTTGGCGAGCTTTCGGCGCTTAGCGCCTTTGTCGAGCCTGAAATGAAAAGCTTTCTAATTTTCATTTCAGGCTCGACAAAGGCGCTAAGCGCCGAAAGCTCGCCAAAAAGGCCTAAACTTTTGCAAAACTTTTGCAAACACAATTTTTGCAATTTCTTTTGTAGAAAGTTTTGAGTCTTTTGCAATAAATTTTGAAGTCTCACATTGTTTTATACACATTTAGATCGACATGAAACGTTTAATTCGACGCGAAACTGCAGCACTGTGGCTAGGGAGAGCAGTGCGCAATCTTGCAAGCACTAGCAATACCCAACTAGAGTTAAACCTCTGAAGATCGTGTTACGGATCCAATAATATGTAATACGTACTCAAATGTCTTCAAGACAGCGAGGGAACTAGAATGCTTGGCTTTTTTGGACTGTCAACGCCGCATATTCTTCATTATTATATGTCGCGGTTAACTGCGTTCGACAAGTGCAAATGGGGGCAGTGAGGACAACCGTAAACAGAGGTTATTGGATATAACATCCGATGTAACCTGTATATGCATGTTAGGTGGGAGAAATAGACCTGTGACGGAATCAATGCAATTCCGTGAGCGCAAGACCGTGGCCTCAGCACAACCCCTAGTAATTCTAAATCGTAGATCTTAGAAAATCGTGAAGCAGAGGAAGGACGCAAACAAGCAAAGGGCAACAAGTCTTTCAAAGGACCTATGAGGATTGCAGAAATCCTAAAAACAGCGTTAGCCAAGGTAAGGGAAACGGATACTGACGCCATGCAGAGAGCTGAAACAGTTGTTATAGGATAGCTCTTTCCGGCGAGCTAAAGCTGTTAGGTAGCCAGTACAATGGTGTTAATGTCCGAAGCGGGAAAAAGGCGTACGCACTCTGGAACTTGCTGAAAGTTCAAGGCACAACTTTATGATTAGGTCGATTAGAAGGCAGTATTCGCAATCAATGCAGAGAGTGGTCCAGTAGTGGCGCAATGAGAAAAACCATGCGAAACGGTCGAACCAAAGATTGATTAAGATCTTCCTTGCGCTAAGATTCGCGCACTAATTGCGAACTTCTCATGGTGCTGGCCAATCTATTGAGGCTAATGCTCTTTGCTGCTAAAAGCGGCTAGACGGTCTTGAGCGCATGGTTCGACGTTTCAATGTGATAATTTGGTACATCGGGCAAGTTTCCTGCGCAAATGGTGGGGACGCCTGGCCTCATCCACCCTAATTGAAAAAAAGAAAGATTCGTGGAAGTGGGAAACATAAAGATCAGGAAGATAGCTGATCGAGATGGGATACCAAATGAGGGAAGGAAGGCGCGCGATGAGCGAAATCGGATAGCTAGTGCCTTGACGCACTTCTGAATACCATGATTGAGAAAGGAAGGGTGTATGAGACGTGAAGAAGCAGCACCATTGTCCCCAATGTCATGGACAAGGTGAAGAAGTGTCACTATCAGGGTGAACCATGTTCGAGGAGTTCTCCATGAGTTCGTGTTAGCCAGGTGGATACATGGGGCCGTAGTTGAATATTTGAAGGTTGTAGGTACGGAAAGTGGTAAAAGGTGTGAGAATAAGATAGCGTCGTAAAACGTTGAAAGGATCAACATCCACATCTTCCTCCTTCATACTCGACGCTCGATTTTGGAGGAGTTGAAAAAATGAGGGGTTCTGTGCCAGGAAGAGCCAAGATCCGTTCCGCAACGGTTCGTGGAGGTTCGGAAAAATGCGCAATGGAGACAGGTAGATTCAGCATTCAGCATTTAGCTCAGAAGCAAGATGCAACTGGAAGAGGTAAGTCCCACTACACTCTGCTGCAGCCAGCTTTGGCAGGTAGGCAAGTATCAAAGCCTGAAGCAAGCAAAAAAAGAAGGGGGAGGATTTTCTCAGAAACCATGACCGCAACAGAAGATCCTGGCGGCTGCTTTGAGCTTCTGCTTTCGGAAATGTTGTTAAAACTAGAAGTCACAAAAACTACAATCAGTGATCGCGATGTCACTGCTAGGCATACGAATTTGGAGCGAATATGCAATACCTTAGCGGAGGTTCCAGCAAGAAAAGTCCCAAAGCTAAGACTGCCCATGGTGCCCATATGGCTGGTGTCACCATTTTTTAAGAACCAATTCAACAAAAAAAAGGTTTTTTGGAGAGGGGGTTAGGGTTTTTTATGTTTCGGTTCACTCTTAAATCAATCAATGCCGCCTGTTCATTTACTATTTGGGAGAAACTGTTATGAGGATTGTTTGTTGTTAACTGCTGTTCTAACGGTGGAGTCGAGTTCGGTCCTGCGAATGTTTCACAAGAATGCTGGGTTGTGAACAAAACTTTTGCTGAAAGCTATGGTACGTATACCATGAAAAGCTGAGTTGGAATGAAATGGTGCCCCGGTAGCGTAACTGGTAGCGCACTTGCCCGGAAAGCGAGAGGTGCGGGTTCTAGTCCCGCCTGGGGCGAAAGTTTTGTTCACAACCCAGCATTCTTGAAACATTAGAGGTTTGTTTAGACCATGAAAGGATCGGTCTCGGATGCTTTTCGACCTCTCAGTCTTTGACGAAGTCAAACAGATCGAAAAGTAAGCCTTATAAAAGTTCAGTGCAATAGTGGACAGGGCTCAATGATTCCGCGGGCTCACTCACTGAAGTTGTTATCAGGGAAGCATATCGGATTGCAACAAGAAAGCTAGCTCATTTAATTCGCTTCTTTGAGGGTTAAGCTTTATTTGAAAAAAAGAAATTAGAGCTAGTGCAATTACAAGTCCGTAGTTGGCGCATGCATATCGAAATGCTAAAGTTTTCATAGAATGACATACTCTTCCTTCCCCCCGAGGTCGACATTCTAACTTATGGTGGTAAAAATCCTCGATTAGTTCACTTAGTGAATGACACCATGAACGTTTTCATCAAGCCAATTTGAGCTCACCTGCTGTTCGTGCCGTTCAGTTCGATCCAATGTGTTGCCTTCGGAAGCGTAACCAGACGGTTGCAGGCGAATGGTTGTCGATACCGAATCCAACGAGTCTTCGCTAGTTGATGAATCGACAAATTGATCTGAAACTGATCCAATTTGAACTGTGCATTAATAATGAACACCATAGTTAGGCTATGTGATTCTACCACGCTTTTACAACTAATTATCCTGGCCTTGATCGAAAAGAAAGGCATTGTTGAAGGTTCACAGTTAATTAATAAGCTCAATTCCAAACGAAATTTGGATTTTCATGTCCCAGATGCAGAACACTTCGCCAGTAAGGGGTTATTCAGCTTTAAATGTAGCCCAATACGAGAATGGGGAGGAGGATTCGAAACGAGGAACATAAAGTTTTTGTCTACGAAGTTGAGCCAACTTTCAAAGTGAGACAACTGACTGGAATTAAGAGTCACGAGTGCATCCCCATTCGGGTGCTGTTGAAGTCAGCGCTTTTATAAGGTAAAGAGCCGTCCCATGCTTACACCGGTCAATTAGGAAGAGCAAGAAGGAGAATCGTATCGTACCAGCACATCTAATCAGATTAGTCCGTTTCTCTCACATTCAATTAGCCTCGATTAAAGATTGTGTTGTGGTCAACGTGAGGATGTACATATTATGTAAGCGATATAGCTTTTCCGAGATTTCAACAGTCCGAAGGATTTTAGAAAACAAAATTGGTATCAAGTTAATTTTAGCCTCTTCATTCTATAAAAGCAAGAGGCGATGTATAAGAATAAGAGAAATATAAGTCTCTTTCAAATTCCAAATTTTGAATTTCTCGTTAGAAAGAAGGATTCTGAAAGCATGCCTTATTGCGGACTAAAGACAGGGCTCATCAATTGTTTACTAAGATAGAATAAATAGGACAATATGGAATATAGAACTAGTATATAAAACAGTGTTTGGTCGGGTAGTTTCTCAAATATCTTCTGTCATTCCGGACTCCGAAGAACACGATAACGCCGAAACGTCAGCCGAATAAAGCATTATTAACAATCCCAGTCGCAAGCTGAATTATTTTATCACCTATACGTTTACTAATATGTTTACTTATTTTCTTTATGCACACGTAGAGGTAACAGAGACCCAATGAGATACAACGTACATGGTCGATACTAACTGGACCTCAACACCAAAGCAAAAAGCTCTTCATCCAGCAAGGAGAGGAAGTGGGGTAAAAAGGGTTTTTCAAAATACTCAATAAAAAATTCATTGTAAACACTGCGTAACCACACACTAGTAGATGAGACTGACTAGGTGAATGGCGTTAGATGTGATACCCTTCTTAAATTGTTACGATGTGGTCGTATGAAATCCGGGTGCTAGATTTTCCCTACCCTCAATACTAAAGGAAACAAGAAAATGACTGAAGGAGCTGCTCTGAGCACAATACCATAGAAAGAGCGACAGATGAAGAAAGGAGTTGACGGGTTGCGGCAGGAGGTGGTCGCCTGGTCCCGCCACAATCTGATTTGTCTATGGAAAGTGCGTAAGACCATGAACAATACCCAGACAGCCGTCGACAGACCGGATCATAATAATACCGCGCGAAAAGAGGAAGACAACACAAGTGAAGGCAGGTCTGAGGAAGGGAGCAGGAAGTTCAGAGTAGAGCGACCTTTTCGACCTTCCCTTCTTCCAATCTAAGCTTATTTTCATGCCCGTAGAAATTTAGTCTAAATGGTGGATGTCGAGAAGGAAGATTTAAGGCACTCATTTAGCGCAGTTTCTTTCTAAAATGAGTTACATGCGTATTGAGTTTCTCTCGACATCAATGAGAAAAGTTGCGCTCTCTGGCAATTAAAGATTTCCTCAGGTTATATTCAAGCGAGTTCTTAGAAACTGATGACAACCTTCGCATAAAAATGACTTTTTGATTCCAAACAATCGATA